TGGACTATTGCAATTTTTTATTATCTGGGTGTCCAAAATCTTCTTTAAAAAGTCTTCAGTTAATCCAAAATGCTGCTGCCAGAGTCTTAACTGGAATTAGTAGAAGATATCATATCTCTCCAGTTTTAGCTTCTCTCCATTGGCTCCCTGTCAAGTCCAGAATTTAATTCAAATTCTTACTTCTAACCTATAAAGTCCTCAACAACCTAGCTCCATCATATATTAGAGATCTTGTTGTTCCATATTTTCCTAACAAAGCACTTCGCTCTCAGACTGCAGGCTTCCTTGCAGTTACTAGAGTTTCAAAAAACAGAATGGGAAGAAGGTCTTTCAGTTATCAGGCTCTTCTCTTGTGGAACCAACTTCCAGTTGGTCTGTAAAGCTGACAAAATGACCAGTTTTAAGACTGGGCTTAAGACTTTCCTTTTTGATAAATCCTATAACTAGAGTTGGCTTGTTATGCTGCCATAGGCTTAGACTACTGAATAGCAAACTGACATAATTTCCTTAAATTAATTGTTAAACCGGCAGCATGGTGGCGCAACTGGTAGAGCTGCTGCTTCTCAGCGAGCAGGTCCTTGGTTCAAACCCCGGTCCAGGGGCCTTTCTGGGTGGAGTTTGCATGTTCTCTCCGTGCATGCGTGGGTTTTCTCTGGGTGCTCCGGTTTCCTCCCACAAACTAAAAACATACGTTAGGCTGATTGGTAACTCTAAATTGTCCCTAGGTGTGAGTGAGAGAGTGAATGGTTGTTTGTCTCGTTTGTCTCTATGTGGCTCTGTGATGGACTTGCGACCCGTCCAGGGTGTACCCCGCCCACCGCACAGTAATTGCTGGACATGGGCACCAGCGACCCCCGTGACCCAAAATGGAATAAGCGGGTAAAGATAATGGATGGATGAATGGATGGATGGATGGAATTGTTAAACCACTTTGGCTATGGCAGCCTGCCTGGGAGGAGTCAACAGGGGAGAGGACAACCCCCAGAAACCATCTTATCACTAGCAAACTGGTTGGTCCACTGTAGGAGTGCACTGATTAATGGGAAAAACAGTTTGTTTGTGACACCTCAGTCTGATGAAGCCCTTCAGATGGAGGACGAAATGTCTCAACAAAAAAAACAAGAATAAAAAAACTGTCCTGATGACCTGACTGAACATTACTGGACTTGTTTTACATGGACTATTGAGCATGAACCTTGATTGAAATTAAATAGTTTTCATTTGATACGATTTCTATCTTAACATGTGATTCTCAACCTGCCATTGTGTATCTGTTCCTCCTTCCCGTTTCTCTCAAAACCCAGCTGGTCGAAGCAGATGGCCACTTGTCCTGAGCCTGGTTCTGCTGGAGGTTTCTTCCTCATGAGGGAGTTTTTCCTTCCCACTGTGGCCTTTGTGCTTGCTCAAGATAGAGTTCTGTAATGGAGTTAAATTCAAAGCAGTCTGCTCCTCGGATAAATAGTGTTAACGTATTTTATATATATATGAATCTTTCTGTTCAGTGCCCTGAGATGACTTCTTTTGTGACTTGGCGCTATATAAATAAACTGAATTGCATTTAATTGAACTGAATTGAAATTAATTGAATTGAAACTGCATGAAGAAGGAAGTGAAGAGAAAAATTCACAATGAAGAATAAAAAAGGCTAAATTGACCCCAAAAAATGCTAAAGGTCAAGTAAAAGATAACAGCTATTTGTGAGTTTAATGACAAATATACAAGAACATGAGATAACTGAATGAATAAAAAGATTGCAAACATAAAGAAGTAGAGGTATTATCCCTCTCCTCCATCACTCTTTCTTCCACATCTCCTCACCCCTCACCTGAACCTAACAGGTGGCTTGGGGAGCAATGCTGATTGACAGAACAATTATGGCAAACATGCACCTTTGTGGCAAGACAGACATTTTCAAATAGAATTTCACTCTGCTGTTGCATCACGGTCTTCTAGGAGAAATTCCAGAAGAAAAAAAAAAAATGCAAAAGCTACATGACTGGCTCAGAGATTGACTGATTGTATGTCTATGAGTCAGAACAGTGTTTGAGCACAAATCCTTGAATAGCAGTGTTCTGTTTTATTCGTTGCCTTCTATAATAAAAAAGGAGGAAAAGCATTTACCCTTGATCAAGGATGTCTGGTTCTAACTATAAAGGCAATATTTGGCAACCAATTTTCTCCAACTGACTGTTCATCTGTTAGCTCAGATAGAGGTGAATCTATTTTTATCCTCACACCAACTGACTGAAGAAGAAGTGGAATGGTATTTAGAGAAACTTCAGATCATAAGGTTTACAATAAATGTGATATCACTAATCTAATTGAGATTATGTGTAGACACAATTTAGGCTGCTAAATTTGTGTCATAATTGCATTTACAATAACTGTTAGATGCAGCTGATATACAAATTAACGTTATGCAGCACCCCTTTTTTTTACTGCAGATGGATGCTACACAGTCAGTCTCTTGCAACCATGCCGCCCGGTACCCCACTTCACAAATTTCGGGCCTACAACAGCTGCATTACACCACGCTTGCTGACTTTCTAATTATCTTATCTCAGAAAATAAGGATGCTGAGCAATTCTTTGCTCTAGCAGTCTAACAACAAGCAGACCACAGGGAGTGTGGTTGGCACTTACTGTCATCAAGGGGGCTGTTGTGTTCGACAGACTAGTACAAGAAAATATGGTTCACTCTCCTTCCTCTGACTCATAAGCACTCACACTCTTTTTCACTCTGAATGTTAAGTCAATTCTCAGTTCCTCAAGTGAATTGGTATTTTTGGAAGTCACAATGAATAATGAATATGATACTAATGTCTATGTGAAGAAACAGCTTCTTGAGAACCCAGCTGTTTCTTTGCTTGAAAATTAATTTTGCTATTCTACTGCAACAGAAACACAAAAATCTATCCAGTTTCGTACTTGTGACAGCTCTGAAGTTAGGTTGTTGCAAATTCCAGAAAGTAATTGATGTTTTAGAATTCTTTATTCATCAAATATGTAACCTATGGTGTTGAAAAGTTGTATGATACAAGTTTCTGTTCCTCTAATGTCTTCTTGCCAAAGGAGTCGTGAAGAATGGATTTGGGAGGGGGAAAGGGGATAGAAAGAAGGATAAAGGCTAGATCCTTCCACCTGTAACACTGAATGTCCTGCTGGACTCTAATCTGCCAGTTGTCTGTCTGTGAGATGCCCAGCTTTGCTGAGACCAGCCAGGCTCTGCAGCTTCCAGCACCAAACGATACTGCGGCCCCAGGACATAAGGCACCTGCACAGGGAGATAAAGGCTTCATCTTCTTAGCTAAAACTGACGATGCTTTTGATAAAAACAGACATGAGGTGGTGGGTGCTGGGGAGCAATTTTTTGCTGCTCCCTGTCTCTAGTTCTCTCCTGTCTTGGTAAACTCTGTCTTGTATTTTGCTTTTTCCTCCTTCATCCCTTATGTTTGTCTTGATGTCTCTACTTTTCTCTCTCTGTGCTTTCTTCATCCCATCCTGTGTAACTTTGGAGCAGACAGGCGAGGCTCTCCACTCTGCTTTTTATTTATTCCATATCTGTAACTGTCAGGAAGAAGATTGCTACTTTAGGAGCTGTCTGTGCTTTGTTGTGCTCATGGAAAGTCAAATAGAGGAGGTTGTGTTAAAATCATCTCGGCCACTTTGTGGGGACACAAACAATGACAGCTGCAGTCTTGAAAGCCCCAAACAGTTGGAAATGGCTTTACAAGTGCATGAGACGTGATGACTCAAATGAGATGGTGCTGAAAAAAGTTGATAAAACAGGCAAATTAACTCAGGTGTCAACAATTGTACTTCCTGCTACATGTATGACTGAGACATCTTGATATGAGGGTTTATTTAAAACACTTCAATATTTGAGGAATTTTTGCATTAAAAAAAAATCACATGAAACTAAATTTTATGAGAAGTAATTTTTACTGATTAATAGTTTACCATTTGAAATCGTTATCAAATTAGAACCCATTCAGGAAGTGACTCTTTAATGACACTTTTTAATCTCAAAAATAAGTTATACTACCTATTACACAAAAACCCAGGAACATGTCAGTTAGATCCTGTAGCTCTGTCTACACTGTAACGTATCTATCGGAATGCACACACCTGTAGAATAACACCAATTGAAAAACAAGTATTTTCAAGGAGAAATACATGGTTGGCAAGATAAAGACATTAAAAGTGGTTCTAAAGCTGTGCAATTTGTTCCGATCTCAAACTGTGTTATGCACAACAGCTGCAAATGAACAACAGACTCAATAGTGAGAGAGCAAAGAGGTCAAGTTAAGCTGCATCATATGTTATACTGTGCTGTATTATAGACAGCAGTTCATCTTTCCTCTTTACGGTGTTGTGACCATTGTCTCTTCCCATTAGCCTGCGACCAGCATGCTAAGCTACGGTTGTTGGAATGCAGCAGGCTAGCAGACGCACACAGCTCAGAGTGGCAGATGCCTGGTGTTTCCGCTGATGCCCTCCATCAACTGATGACAGATGTCAGGGCTCTTTTTGGATGGCAACACTTCATCACTCTACCCCTCTTCTCCGCCCTGCTGCATACACCAGTCTGCTTGGCAGACACCGCACCCATCCTCACCGCATTATCCCCATTGCCTCCTGCTCCACCTATTCATTTACACATGAACATTTCTGCATCCATCAGTCAAGCTTTATTACATCAGACAACCATCATGCTCACAACCAAAGGATCACATGCTAATGCACCAAGATCTATCCAATAAGGGAATCTGCAATTGCAGTCTCTGTTAGGGAATGTGTGTGTTGAGTTCTGCCCAAATACAAAACTCTTTCAAAGTTGGAGAAGGTTAAGTAAATCTCTCAAGATTCTTTAAAGATGTGGATTAAATATCAAAGATAAAAAGACATTACGAAATTCACATACAACGTACAAAGATAAAATTATCTTTAAATTAAATCTGTAAATTAAAATATATGAAATTACATGCATTTCCAGCTTACCATTTTGGTCTGCTGGTAGACTTGATTACAGGAGACATGCCATCCCTGTACAGGCTCTTGGTCTTTGAGAAGTTGACAATATTGAAAATGACCCTCTGAAAGACAAGCATTTCAAATTTATTAGAAACCTCAGAGTACTTGTGGCAGTAGCATTATATACTGCTGTGAAGACACCTAAAAGACAACCAAAAGGAGTAGAAATAATTTGCAAGGTTGGTCAAAATAATTCTAATTTTGCATTATTATTATCATTATTATTATTATTATTATTATTAGAATTTAATATTGTATGTACTTGAACTTTACCATGGGAAGAAAAAACATAAATTTAAAACTAAAAGTCAACAACGTTGTTATCACAAAAAATGCACAATGATTTATTTTGTAATAAATCTTGATTAAAACAGGCCCTTTTTTCTTGCTTTCTGCTGGTTTCAACTCACGTCATATTGTTTTAGCCAAAAACTTTAGACATGAACTCAGAAGGTGAGGGAAGTTATTGCTATAGCAAATGCAACCCATGGTGCACAATAATCTTGACTCATAAGGATTACATGTCAAAAATATAACAGCTTTCATGTCCCGCATATATACCCATGTTGTGGTAACAAAGTTCCTGATAAAAGGCAGCAGCTCAGAGGAGTGCCAGCTTTAATCTGAGAGGACATTATGGCTCTCCCCATAGGGATGCTGCCTGGACAGGAAACAACATTAAACCTTGCCTGGAGTGCAGAGGAAAAGCCATGGTGCCCACCTATCCACGTCCTCTGGTCTAAAGGTTTTGTATGGATAGAATTTTCTGGAACAAATGTCCCTATTTCCTTCCTTCCGCTTCCAGTTTGATAGGATCAGGATAAGTGTAGAAATGTGAGGTGAAAAATGAATCAGTTTATACTTTTTATTTAAAGAAGCCAATGAAATGGCAATGGTAATACTGCAGTGGTGTAAATGAATCCTATTGATGGGGCATATCAAATTACCAACTTAGTCCAGGTGGTGGAAGTTAACTGGGTGCCACTGAAATCCTGTTAAAGAATCCCCACCTTCCTCTCCCTTTTTCTTTCTCCTCCCCATCATCCATTTCTGCTTTTTTTCTCCCGCCTAGCTTCAGAGGAATGGGGATTGCGGATTGTGGCAGGCTGATTCAGACTTAGGTAAAATGACATCTAACTGATGTTGAGACTGGCAGCAGGCTCCTGTAGCAGGGAGATAAGACCATTGCTGCTGGCATTTCAATTACACTTTACTGCCCCGCACATCTGTTGCGAGAGCTACTTTTCAGCCTTTTCCCCCTCAGGCAAATACAGCCTCACACTGACTCGACTGGCGTTCTTTGACTGCACAGCCTCTTTCCTCATTCCTTGTCCACAACAAATTCAGATTGTCTTCCTTCGTAGATTTACTCTGCCCACTGTTTGTAATCTATTTGTTTGGCCTGTTTAACTCAGAGGTAGCTAAGTCCTGACAGATGACAGAGGCACAAGCAAAAAGGAAGAAAAACAGGACTGAATCGAAGGCACGGTAAAACAAGAAACTAGGCGAGAAACGGTCACAACGGTGGTTTAGCAATGAATAAACAAACAGTAGAAGAGATAGAGACAAACAGTCAAGAAAATAATTGTCAAATGAAGATAAATGAGAATTGGGGTAAGTTATATTAGGTAGGAGCATAAAGTAAATGGTATTCTGTCTGAGGACAAATGTTGAGGACAAAAGCAAGTGGACTGGTAAGTAGGAAGGGAATAACAAGACACACAGACGTCTCCCTCGGTGGCGCTCTGATTTAATTGAAGCTAAGCAGATTAAAAAGAATAACAGGAACTTTGAGAAGCTTAAAAGCAAGGTAGGGGAGCCCTGGGCCACTTACAAGCCAACATTACTCTTCAGCTGATGCATCAGACATGACTGAGGGTTATTTTTATTTTCCCTTTAACTGTATTTCCTGTTACATCCAAACTATAAAAGTATTTTCTGCAGCTTTTAAACCTGGAAAAAAACTGTCAACACTTTTAATAAATATAGTGTCACTGTGATATAATGTTATATATTCTCTATGCTGTACATTTAGAGAAGAATTTAAACAGTGACCTGATGTTAAAAATGTGAGAATACAAACAGTATTTATTCAAGATTGAGTAAAATGTATTTCTCCATGGGTAAGTTTCAGTCTCTCAATACAAAGAACTTGACTGTGATGTTATGAAGTTAGGTTTAAGCAAGATGAAAGGATCAGTAAAATTGTATTTGTTTTTTTGCATGAAAGTCTGTTTTCATCTTCTTATCCTACTTTGTACATCACAAAAATCAATCTGGTAGTTTTGTTTGACAGAAATGTCTAGAAATGTCACAACTTTTTAGTATTTGTTTATCCATTTTTCATATTTTCATTTATAGGGGTATGTTTTTGTCAGTATTTCATATGTTCATGATATTACATGGGATTCCCCAAAGCTTTTCTTTTTCACTCAAACGGTCAGTTTATTTACATACTTCCTCAGATTTTCCTCAAAATTGTGTAATCTAGGGACTAATTCTCATGAAGTCAAGGTATGGGTACCAAGACTCTGTTCTAATTCAGAGCTGATTTTCGCAATCTAAAATATTTGAAAGTTTTTAAATAAAGTCATGCAAATGTAATATGAATAGTTACGTCATTTTTCATCAGTTTTACATCAATGCTTATATATTTATAGCAAAAACAGTCATACAAAAATAATTGTTATTTAGCACTTTATGAATACATTTTGTTTGTATAAATGAGTTTTATTTCTCATAAATAGTAAAAAAAAAAAAGGACACCTAAAATACCTTTTCTTAAAGAACTAAAATCAAATTGAATGCTGCAGGATTAATTGTCCAGATTGTTAAAACTTATAAGCAAGAGTACCACTTTAAAATTCATCACATGTGTAAATGTTCCTTTATTTGCTAGTATGCTACCCTTTACATTTGATAGAACAGGAGCAGTTAGAAGAAATTAGCATCTATACTGTCGTAACTGTCATGTTGACAAAAAAGTCAAAATTCTGAGCTATCCACTCCCACCTCGATCAACAGTGCACTGGAACAGATATCTCTGTAGCATCACTACATATATGCACAAACTACTCATTCCACACACTTTGAAAATAATAACAGGTATATTTAGGCCCCGAATGAAAATATACAATGTTACCAAATTACAGTTCTAACAAAGCTGGGTTAATGAGTAGAAACAAATTTGGTATATACTGTAGGTAGTTAAACACAATTTGAACCATCTTTGGTTTCCTACAAAACTCAAAATCTGAACTACTCAAAAATAAAGTAATCAAGACTTTTAGTCTCTTGTGGCAGAAAATAATTACCATGAATCTGAATCTATCTTTCAATGTAGCCAAACCATTTTTTTTATATGGACAGTTGTGGAATGCCCCCTCCAAGTCAGGGAAAGAGTATCTAGGAGTCCTATTCATGAGGAATGGCAGCATGGAGTGGGAGATAGATCGATGAATTAAGGCCTTGTCTGCAGTAATGAGGGCATTGCTCTATTGTGTCTTGGTGAAGAAGGAACCGAGCCAAAAGGCTAAACTCTCAGTTTACTAATATGTCTACATTCCAACCTTCTATGTTCATCAAATATGAATCATGATCAAAATAACAAGACCATGGATGCAGGCAGCTGAAAATTGCTTCTTCCATAGGTTGACAGGACTTGACCTTAGGACCTTTTGTATTGAACGTTTTTTGACTTGACCTTAGACATTAGGTGAGGGACTGTCATCCAAGGGAGAACGGAGTAGAGCAGATTCTCCTCCATAGCGAAAAGTCAGCTGAGGTGATTATGGCATCTAATTCGAATACCTCAAAAGTGACCCAAAATGTGTGATATTAAACAAGATATCCACACGCTGGGATTCTCCAGAAGGAGCTGAAGATTGTTGCTAGGAAGGAGTGGCACAACTACTTCAAAGGTCAGGGAATCCATCCTCCTTGCTCTTGATATGCTTATTTGTATATGGGTGAGTGCTAAAAAATCCAATGTACTGCTTGTATGAAGTGTTAATAATAGTAGAACGTCCTGTATAAGTGGGTGTGCGTGTGCGTGAATGAAAAACAGTTTGTGGAATGCTTTGCAAAATCTAGACTAAGTTAAAAAAAAGTTAAATAAAACTGTAGACCATTCTAGAATTGTGTTCACCCAATATAGGAACACATGCTATCTATAGATAACATCCACAATTAGGTATCAGTCCAATGTTTGCTCATTGCTAAACCACAATTCTTTGATTCACCATCACTGAGCTCTATACATATCCATCAGACAGACAATGTGATGGCTGCTGGCATCTCTACTTGCTTCTCTTTTACTGTCTTTGATCAGTCAGATCACAGATGTACAACATTCCAGTTACACATACTTGGACCGGAAACTACCAGAACAAAAAGCACTATAAATACTCAAACACTATGCAGTAAACTTGAGCAATGTTCTTGTCAAAAAAAAAAAAAAAAAAAAAAAAATCATGCACAAGCTATCAGAGTTTAACAAAATATTTTTTTGACAAACTGAATTTATTTACAGAGCCTCTTCCAAACAGACTCTAAATTCTGATTTGACAAATGCAATTTTATGAATAATGAAGTTTTACTGTATTATATATGAAAATAAAATTTCCACTAAAAATAGTTATAATCAAAAGGCCAAAGTGTATTAGAGAGTCACCAATTCCCAAATGGCATTAAGTGTAATTATAATTGTATTATTTGAAATTAAGAGGAAATGTGTATGGTTGCAGTTAGAGAGGACATGAAGGTAGTTGGAGTGAGGACAGAGGATGAGGAGGACAGAGTGAGATGTAGGAGGATGACTCGCTGTGGCGACCCCTGAAGAGGGAAAAACTGAAAGAAGAAGAAGAGGAAGTGTGTTCCCTATTTAAATCCTATAAGACAGATGTATAATAAAAGCTCATGTAGTGATGAAATATTAACTAAGCCTACTCAACATTCCTTATTTACTGTGATCATCTGGTAAAGAACGTGTGAGTCTCTGAACTGAGATTGCTGTAACTGCTGTCCACTCAGGTGATTTACTGAATATTTAACAAAAATATTT